AACCAAAGGGCTCATGCGATGGAAGTCCCAAAGCACTGAGGCATTCCGATGGAAATGGGTTCAGGTGACACACAAACTGATGCTCTATTCTGTTTCCCATCATCTCTCTTTATTTAAATGCAAATGAAGACAAAGAAATTGTGTTCATTTCCAGATTCACTGTCAGTAAATTTAATCATGTTCTTCATAACGCTGCACAGAACACTGCTTAGGCAATTGAAAGATATCACCTGAGAAAAACAACAATTAAAAAAGATCAGTATATTCATATACATTACAAAGCATCTTGTGAATAAATGTATTAATATATACGTAAAAAGATTATTCAATATTCATTTTTTAATATAAAGTTCTGTTAGTGTCTCATTGAAAACCAGAGACTTAAATTTACAACTGAAGATGAACATACATTCTTGTCAAGAACATAAAACTACACAAGTTACATGTTATGAAAAACGTCCATTGATTTATTATTATGTGTTTAGCACAATCAGCATATGAAACTTAAATACACTGAACAAGGCTCCCTTTCTCATCCGTAAGATCGTTTTTCCCATGCTGATGGCACAAACATTCCTGGTTTCCACTGATGTTTGATCCATAAATCAACTGAAAGGGGAAAAGAAATATGACAAAATATGGCAAAAGAAAAAAAAAGGATGACGGATCTGAAATATGGCAGGAATCAAAAGTAAATAGTGAATGAATTGGAATGCAAGATTTTTTTTCTGTTGAAATATGCTGGCAGCTCAGCTCCCATTACTGACAGTTTAACATTTAAATCACATTTACTAACAAATATCCCAGAGAGACATTTAGCTGTGTGACAAGTCTGAGGTTTCTACTGTCTCTGAGTCAAGTCGCTCCAGTCCAACAGGAAAACACTGACAGCTTAACTCTTTATACACCAACAATGGCTATACACACTCACCAGCCACATTATTAGGTACACCTGTTCAGCTGCTCATTATTGCAAAATAACCCAAAATTGGACAATAGGAAATGGAAAATGTTGCATGGTGTGATGAATCTTGATTTGTGCTGCAAAATTTGGATGGCAGAATCAGAATGAAGGCTGCTGGTGGTGTGGGGGATATTTTCTTACCACAATTTAGGACTCTTCTTATCTAGGCATTATTTAAACACCACAGCCTAACTGAATATGGTTGCTGACCATGACTATCTCTGTATGACGAGAGTACCCATCATCTGATGGCTCTTTTTAGGAGGATAACTGATTTCTTGAACATGACAATGAGTTAGTAAGTACAAAACCTCAGCACAATACCCCTGTACTATGGCCTCCATAGTCACCAGGTCTCAATCCAATAGAGCACATTGGGGATGTAGTGGAATGGGAAATCCACATTGTGGATGTATACAGTGGTCCCTCGTTTATCGCAGGAGTTACGTTCTAAAAATAACCTGCGATAGGTGAAATCCGTGAAGTAGCCAACTTTATTATTTACAAATATTATAGATGTTTTAAGGCTGTAAAACCCCTCACTACGCACTTTATTCACTTCTCTGAGGCAGGCATGAACATTTTCACACTTTTCTCTCTTGTTTAAACA